TCAATCAAAACCAAAAAATTCAAGTTAAAATATTAAATCCCTCGGGGTTTGAAGATTAAATTTTTCCTCAAAACCGAATAAAAAAAATGATAGAATTGTGAAATTAGAGAATGAACGGATAAAAGAATAGTGCATGGGAAACGAATTTGAACTACAGGCTGAATTAACAAGTCTTTGTTACTACAAATAGAATCGAGAAATGACAGGAATAGATAAACGGTTTCCATCCATACCAACCACAAGAATTTGTTTTTTTAATTGTAAAAATATTTTTGAAATGAAATATTAATTAGTTCGGTTAATAATAAGAATATTTTTATTTTTTTATTTTTAAAAAATCAAGAAGTTGATAAAATAGAAACATATCTTTACAAAGAACACTGATTTTGAAAACAGTATATGAGATTCTGGTAATGGATTATTAAAATTAAAACGTGTTATCTTACTCTTTAATCTCTGATTTTTGGTTGCTTAATTTGGTTTACTTTACACTCATTAATTTATTACCTTCCCAAAACAAACTCTTAACCATTTACTTCTTATTATCTTAATCTCATTTTTTATCTTTCTACACAATTTATGTCCTACCTTCTAATACCTCAACTCTCTCATCACTCACTCTCGTTTGACAGTACACCACATCTGAGATCTTCCCCCGGTTGAAAAAGGGAACAAGTGCCAGCTAGGACACTGGACTTCGATGGGGTAGATGGTAAGATCCCACATCGATTAGAAGACGGAACGAAATATTTTTTTATAAGGGTGTGGAAACCTCTCTGTAGCGTACACGTTTTTAAAATCCTCAAGAGGAAAGTCCGAAGAGAACAATATGTACTAGTGATGGACATAAGGTGTTACACCATAAATAAAACGTGTCGTTTGACACCAAATTTATAACAAGTAGGTAATCTAAGTATGTAAATTTGATGTAGGGGTGTTTATTCATTTTGGAGTGTTTTCAAAAAAGGGGTGGTCGGTCAACTTTTGTTTGTTGATAAGAGCTTTAATTACATACAAACAAATACAAATAATAATGTCCTAAAAAACAAAAACAAAAAAAACATGAACTAAGGATTTTAATATTTTAATATTTTTTGGTTTAATTTATATAAATTACAAACTGTTAGCTCCTCCTGTTTTTGTCTCTTAAATCTATGGCTTGATATTATCTGTCTTTTTTATGTTAAACGTAGAATAGATCATATCTTTACATAATAAGATAATCTAGTGATTTACTTGTTTGTTACCAAATTTATGATTTTATGTTTGTTTCAATGTAATCTTCATTATACACAATGAGGTCGTGACCCATATAGGTCCCTTCAACCTAACATATTATCGCTGTTAGCTTCACGATTTTTAAAACGCGTCGGTTATGGAGAAGCTTTTACATCTTATAAGAAATTTCAACTGACAGTGGATCCCACAATCCACTTCTCTTGAGGTCAGTGTGCTTCCTGACATATAGTTAAGTGTCTAGCTATGATTCCATTTGTAAAATTCTCTTGGGTCAGTGTCCTTATTGATACATAGTTAAGTATCTAACCATGGTACCATTTGTAAACTTCTCTTGGTCAGTGTCCTTATTGAGCGTGTGGGTGTGGGCGGCGCGGACCCGTCAGCCCATAGGCACCGCACGTAGGCGACCCCTCTCTACTGTGTAAGGCAGACCCAGGACAGCCCCACGCGCACAGCCCATAGAATTCTCCACACTCACCTCCCCTATATAACCCCACCCTCTCCTCCCTTCTTTTCTCAAACCAATCTCCCATGGCGGCTAACGGTTCCATCAGAAGTTCCGTCAAGGTACAATGGGAAGAGGAAGGCGAGGATGAGATCAACGACTTTCGTGATTTGATCCAGAAAGGAATCCGTGAATTAGAGCCGTCGATTCTCGACCCCAGACACGAAGGAACGGCTGATGATTGGATCGAGCGGAATTCTTCCATGGTCCGTCACACAGGAAAGCACCCTTTCAACTCGGAGCCGCCAATCAACCGTTTAACGCACTACGGCTTCATCACCCCGGTCCCACTCCACTTTGTTCGCAGCCGCGGCGCGGTCCCGAAGGCTACGTGGAACGACTGGACCGTTGAAGTATGTGGGCTCGTCAAACGGCCCACTAAGTTCACCATGGACCAATTGAGTAACGAGTTTGGGTTCCGGGAGTTTCCGGCGACGATTGTCTGCGCCGGCAACAGGCGGAAGGAGCAGAACACGGTGAAACAGACAATTGGGTTTAATTGGGGAGCGGCGGTGGTTGCCACGTCGGTCTGGGGAGGGGTCCCACTTCGTGACGTGTTGAACCGATGTGGAATTTTTAGCCGGAAGAATGGGGCGGTGAATGTATGCTTTGAAGGGGCGGAGGACTTGGCGGGAGGCGGTGGGTGTAAGTACGGGACGAGTATAAAAGTGGAGTTCGCTATGGATCCGGCGAGGGATATAATTTTGGCGTATAGACAAAACGGGGAGGAATTGGCGGCGGACCATGGTTTTCCGGTGAGGATGATAATGCCGGGATTCATCGGAGGTAAAATGGTGAAGTGGCTGAAACGGATCATTGTGACGACGAAAGAATCGGAAAGTTATTATTATTTAATGGACAACAAAGTTTTTCCATCCCACGTGGACGCTGAGCTGGCCGACAAAGAAGGTAATCTACAAGTAACAACGTTGTATGAATATGTGGTATATTGATTTGAAAGTCTCATATTAGCTTAATTAAAGAGATAATCATGATTTAATTGAAATGCAGGGTGGTGGTATAAGTCGGAGTATGTAATCAACGAGTATAACATTAACTCGGTCATAACCACGCCCGGCCACAACGAAATTCTGCCCATCATGCCCTGCAGAACTCGGTCGTCCTACATCTTGAGAGGCTATGCTTATTCTGGTGAATCTCGTTTATCTGATTATGTTATAGAGAAATCTGTCTTCACTTCCTTTTAAATTTAACATGTTTGAGAAATGGGTAGGTGGTGGAAAGAAGGTTACACGTGTGGAGGTGACAATGGACGGCGGAGAGAAATGGGACATGTGCATGTTGGATCATCCGGCGAAGCCGAACAAGTTTGGAAAGTACTGGTGCTGGTGTCTATGGTCGTTGGAGGTGGAGGTTTCGAAGTTGCTTAATGCCAAGGAGATCGCCGTCCGAGCTTGGGATGAAACCAATAACACCCAGCCCGAGAAACTCATCTGGAATCTCATGGTATGCAATGTTAGGAACCACGAATCTCCATAGTTTAGCTTTTGACTTCTCTAAAATGCCTCGTACTAATAGTGTTTTTTGCTTATAAATTCATGATCATTTCCTTAATTAGTTGGACTCTCTCTCGTAACCATTCTCAACATATATAACATAATTTATCTCTCTGTTTTATTCATCTTAGTGTTCTTAAATATCAAAATTTTCGTGAACAGGGATTGATGAACAACTGTTGGTTTAGAGTAAGAACGAAGATATGCAAACCCGACAAGGGAGAGACCGGAATCATCTTCGAACACCCGACAATCCCCGGCAACCAGTCCGGCGGATGGATGAAGAACAGCGCCTCCACTCCCTCCATCAACACCGCCTCCACCGCCTCCACCACCTACTCCTTATCCGAAGTCAAAAAACACAACACCCGTCAGTCCGCCTGGATTATCGTCCACGGCCACGTCTACGACTGTACCCAATTCATCAAACACCACCCCGGCGGCGTCGATAGCATCCTCAGCCACGCTGGCACCGACTGCACCGAAGTATTCGACGCCATCCACTCCGGCAAAGCCAAGAAAATGCTCGAAAATTACCGAATCGGAGATGTTCGTGGTGAATGCGAATCGGACGGGGGAGGATGTCCTGCTGAGGGAGAAGATGGACACGTGGACGGTCAAGAAGGAGAGATTGAAAGTTCGGTACGTGGTTGAAGAGAGTAGGGTGGGAATACAGCGTTGGGCTTGTCACGGAGAGTATTCTCAGAGACCATATTCCGGCGGCGGCGGAGGACACTTTGGGCCGCCGGCGATGATTCAGCTGGCAGTGCAGACCAATTTGGAGAAGATGAATAACGACACCAAAAACTAGTTGTTGGTGTTTTAATTAGACACAGATAAATTCATAAATAATATCATAATAATAATTGTATTCCCATTTAGTTTTGATTTGGAAGTTTTAGGGTTTGAGTTAGGGTTCATATACTCAATTCCGTGTTAGCCCGTTATATATCGTCGTCAACCTCACCGTTTTAAAGTGTATCTGCTAGAGATATGTTTCCACACTCTTACTAGTAATGTTTCGTTTATCTCTTCAACAAATGTGGAATGTCACAATCCACTCCTTTGGAATGCCAGTACTCTTGCTGGCACAACACTTCAAACTTGGGTTCAATACCAGTTAAAACCCACTACTAGCATATGTCTGCTTTGGCCGTTCTTATACTATTTGTAAGAGTACAAGCCCACCGCTAGCATGTCTTGTCTACTTTGACTCACTACGTATCACAGTTTTAAAATGTCTACTATGGAGAGAGTCTAGCCTTATTCTAACCATTACTGACTCTAATACAATTTGTAACAAACCAAGTCCATCGGTGCTTGCAAAAATTGTCAGTTTTGACGCGTTACGTGCCCTAGTCACAACTTCATGATTTTAAAACACGTATACAAGAGAGAATTTGTTACCTTCTCCAACCAAGAAATCTTACACAGAATGACGTTAGCACGATAAACCTACCACTTTGCACGTGCCTTACACCCCATAAACAATCAAAATGAATACTTCCAATTCAAACCCATATTCTCTCTTGGGAAAACGACATTAAAAATGCAATCTTTGTCCCAATATGAAAAACCTGTCCATACCCAAATTCAATTGGTCGCTTAAAATCACTCTAAAATCAAATAAAAACATTCATAAGAACTGAAAATGAGCTTCGTATGAACAGATTCTTAAAACCCATTACCAGAAAAGATAACGAACTAACCAACAAGCCAAAAAGTTAAAAGCTTTGACAAGTTTAAGAGAGAATATTATTGCAGAAAGTGACCATTTCAGACAGACATGGCGCTACAACATCCTATGCAAACCGAACATACAAACATACAAACAGACAGCCGCTCACTCATGTTTTCAATTCTCCCCAAACGAACTGCAGCGGTCGGGGAGACAATCAAAACACAAGACAAACACCTTCTACCTCGACTCAAACACATCAACCAACCCGTGCACAGTCGGGGATGCTCAGCTGCTCGACTTCTTGAGCGGCTTGCGAGGTACCCTGGGAATGCGCCTCCCGACATTAACCATTCGGTAACGTCGATGACCGTCGCTTGCTGGAGATAACATCACGGGCAAATATTGATCGGTTCGACACCAGAAGATCTTGTTCTTGAACGCATTCTTCAAAGCCTCCTTTCCCTATTGTTTGCAACCCGAATATAGTTCAATTGATTATAAGCGAATATAGTTCAATTGATTATAAGCTATGTTCTATAATCGAGAGATAAACCTGAATTCTAGCGTCAGTGACCTCACAAATCTTCTTGTTGACATTAACATCCCATTTGTAATTGTTATAAACAGCACAAAACTGAGAGGCAGCCATGGAAGTTAAGAAGTTCACGAACGCATAACCCAAATTCGATACTTTCCCTTCATACCAAGATCTCCTACAAATTCAAAAGAACATTCACAACCAAGTATGAACACACAATGAAAATCATGGGGTTTCATTCAAAACCCACCTGAAATCCATTGGCAAATAAACAAAATCATATTCAGAAGCAGAGAAATCAGATCGAGAATCGCTCGGTTGGTTCATCACTTGACAGTATCTGTCCAGCAACTTCAGAAGATCACGCCGCCTGCTTTGAAGCCGTAGTCTTAAAGTTAATAGCAATAAATGCAAATCAAAGACATTGATATGCTAAAATAATTAATTAAACACATTACAATTTGTTCAATTCCAGATGATTAACTGACAAACAACAAAAGGTTGGAATTAACCCATAACCCCACTTCAGTTTATACCTTGCTCGTCCTCCAAGAAAATTCTCAGAATCGAAAATAATGTTAAGCTCTAAAATTAGCGAAAATGAATATAAAATGTACCCACTTGAACTGGTTGGGGATGTTTTTTATCATCACTGTAGTGATTCCAGAGCCACCCACTGGGCAATGATCAGTTTTCTCAACTGGGTCACCGCCGCCGTGGCCGACGGCGCTACCGATTTTTTTCTCGACCCATTTCGGCGGAGATTTGGTCACTCTTCGAGGGCCACAGGAAACCACGAATTCCCCTTTGAACCTACGACACTCTGTTTTGAAGACATGCTTTGAATCCGTTATAGCGTCACGGGCGCAGCCCACTGCCATTGCCTGACACGGCGGCAAAGCGTTGTAGCAGGTAATGGCGGGATAAGTATGGAATTGCCAATAGTAAGGCGTGGACGCAAATGGGTAGTAGAAATTGTCGTACACTGAAAGAAGCGAAGCGGCAACATGCGGCGGAGAAGGAGGCGGAGGGGGGAGGAAGGAGGAAGGTTGAAATAGGAAGGGGTCGGCGTTGGGATTCAAGGGATTTGAGGCTACGGCCATGAGTGGGTTGTAATGAAATGAAATGGGGATGAGGGAAAATGAGGGAGGAGGGTTAATATGGTGATGGTGGTGGTGGTGATCGGCCATGGATTAGGGTTTGAATGTATTTTTGTTGTTGTTTGTGGTGGTGATCCAATGATGAAGATTGGAAATGGGAAGAGTATTAAGAAGTGGTGTCAAAGAATTTAATGTTAGTGTTTGTTTAGAAGAAGACAAAGACAAACTCAGCTTTGCTCCACCTGCGGTTTGGCGGCGTTGTTGGAGATTGTGTCACAAAATGGGAAACCATTTCCACTATCAACTTTCGATCTTGTGTTTTCTTTTGAGTTCTTATTGTCAATATTCCAACAAAAATTATCAATTTAGATCTTCTTTCTTAATTTTAAGGGTTTAGAGTAATAATAGTAAACAAATATTTGATTTTTTTCTTTTAATTTTAAGAATATTAATGATACTTTTTTAATTTGAAACTTAAGAGTTTTTAATATTTTAAAAAACTTTATAAATACAAAAGATTTCAAATCTCGATATCTTAAAATTAAAGGTGTTATCTTTTAATAAGCTATATCTAAGCTAAAATAGTTATAACCAACAATTAACTAATAAAAGAAAACAATTAAACTTAAGTAAGGTATGTAATTATGAATAAATTATCTCTCCCCTCTCATTAATTTTTAAATCTTTTGTTTATTTATTTATTTATTATTATTATGTCGTAATTAAAAAAATAAACAATAAAATAAAGGGAGGATGGGAATTATAAGTGGATAAAGTGAGGGTCAAATCGAAGATCAAAGGGGTATCCCAAATTAAAGATCCTATTTCAAGCATTATTCTCTTTTTTTTATTTTGTAAATTCATCCCCTTTTTCCATCAATCATCTAAATCAATTTTATATTTAAATATTTTTTTCTCTTCAATTTATTTTAAATAAATTTATCAATTTCAAACATAAAATGTTTATATTTAAGAATGTTTTTTTTTTTTAGGTTTTAAGATATATTTTAAAATTTTATGTTTTATTTATTTTTGTGTGGATAGAGAGGAGTGTTTTTTTTCCCATTTTTAATATGTTTTTAAAAATTATTCGCTTAAAATAAAATTTTAATGTATAAATACCAATTTCAATATGAAATTTTTTATAAGAAAAAAAATAATAAAAATTTTTAAAACTAAAATTTTAATATTATAACATTATTTTTTACATTTAAATATATATTTAAAGTGACATGAGTTGGATGAGAACGTACCTCATTTAGCTAATGAAAAAAATCCTTTTTGGCTTCCTCAATTGTCCGTCTGTTCAAAATGAGGCCTAGCTCCATAAAAATTGGCTTCGGAGTCTTGATTAATTTTAGGTCCTGCATATTAAATATACATTTGTATGAGTGTAATAGTTCAATATTTGTGTTTGTAAAGAAGAAGAGACGTTGGGAAACATGGGGGTAGGAGTGATAGAGTAGTGTGTGATAATATCCCAAACGTACAACAAAAACAAGAACAGTAGAACCCTAAAATCTAAAAGGATTAGACCCTTTTCCCAAAAGTACACAACCAAACAAACCAACTGTACATATCTTCGCTTCTGTAGCTCCTTCTTCGTCCCTCCAAACCAAACAGAACCCTTTAGCTCTGCGCTGCCACTGCCACTGACACTGCCACAGCCCCTGCCCCTGCCTCTGCCTCTGCCTCTGCCAACAAGCAACAAGAACAGCCCCATTCCCATTTCCATGCAAACCCAACTCTGCCGCTTCTCTTAGCATTGTTTGGGCTAAAGCCAACCTCTTCCACTTCCCTTTTGACCACACCACTTATAGCTCCAATTCCGGACCTTTCTATTCTCCAAGTTTTTGACTGTTTTGGTAACCTGCCTTAATGCAACCTTGCTGCCGCCTGCGTCCTTCCATAACATGCTCAGGTTTCTGAAACGGATTTCATAAGGGTGTTTGCAGAAGATATTCCCCCAGTTGAGTAGAACCCCATCTAGCTTAATGTGTGCTGTGTTGTGTTTCAGTCGCATTGGCTGTTGGGTTTGAATGGTTGTTAATTTTGTGTAACAAAATGGTTGACCTTCACCACTAATAATGTGCAACCACAACCAGGATTTCTCTTTCTCCTTCCCTTTCTTGTCTTAACTACCTATCTTTTTTCATTTCCACGGCTCAATTAGTTCAAGCTCAATGTTAATAGATATTATCTGTTTTGACTCGTTATGTATCGCTATCAATTTTATGGTTTTAAAATGTGTCTACTACGAGAAGGTTTCTACGCTCTTATAAGGAATACTTGATTCCCTTCTCCAACCATGGGATCTAACTCAAACCAGCTTGGAGCTTACAGACAGAGAGGGGGCAAAAAATCCATAAATTTAAGCAGAAACAAGTTGACCCGACCTAACTCAGACCAGCTTGGAGCTTGTGTGGGCGTGCCCTTGCATACCCAGGACCTAATGATTCACGGTGGAAACTCCACTCTTGACCTCCATTGAAGGCAACTTTTTACTTTAGAAATTTGAGAGTTGCCATTTAATGTTTAAAAAAAAAAAAGATTATTGTGTCTTTTTATTTATGTATTTTTTTAAAAATCAATTGTAGAGTCTTTAATAAATGTGGACATTTGCCCCTTCCCTTACTAGAGGAAGTGGCACGCTCCAAGTCCATGGGCCAAAATTACGTAAAGGGGTACTACGGGCCTCAAACATGGGCCGAAATGAGTTTCCCTCCTGGCCTCGAACATGGGCCGAAATGAGTTTCCCTCTGGCTCTCAAACATGGGCCGAAATGAGTTTCCCTCTGGGTCTCAAACATGGGTCAAAATTACGTAAATGGGCCAACATCCAATTCACATAATCGTGTTCAGCATATTTTCTCACCCAAACCCAAAAATACTAAATCTTTTCTTTTCTTATTTTCCCCAATTCCAACCTTTAAGTAATAAAGCACCTATGACCTTTTTTCAAACGATCTGGAACATTAAAAAAAAAAAAAAAAAAAGAACATTTTAGAACTTTTTGAACAGTTCATTTAAACTATGTTGGAATCATTGGAGGTTTGAACTTTGAATTCAAAATCAACTGGAAGCGACCTGGAAGGCATTTTATTGAAATTAGTGGCAAAAGAAAGAAAAAGACACGAGACAAAGAACTGTAGAAGTAAAGAACTCATAGAGCTAGAGAGGTTGAGTTACTAAGTGGGGCAGTGAAGAAGGGATGGTGGTGGGATCTATTAAGTGTAGCTACCATATGGTGGTGCTGGTCACCTAAAACTGAGGTATTCCCACATTCAAATATTTCATAATTAACTCACAAATCGTAGTAATGCCAACAAAATTATTGCATTTTTTGAACCCATCCATCCATCTCTTCCCAATGCCTTGGTCTCTCTTTCTACCTCATCATTGCCCAAGTTTTGTGGTTGCAGATTTCAATTCAATTCAATTCAATTCTTTCCGACTAGTGTGAATGGAGCGAGCTAGCTTCTGGGTCTCACTCAATCAAGGTAGGCCCAGCCTATATCTATATAGATTAAAGGAAAAGGCAGTGGTGGTGTGGTCATTCATAATTGCAGATATAGATGAAGAAGAAGAAGAAGAAGATAGATGATGAGCGACCCCATCAATGGAGTCGTGACAAATGACAACTCAATGGGATACTCATAATGGAAAACATAAACTATTTTGTGATGACAAGGGGGTGTCAGTGAGATATGGAGGACCCAAAAAAAAAAAAAAGAAAAAAAAAAAGGAGGAGGCATTTCATCGAACACTTGGGCTGCATACTTTCAAATTCAACAAACCAAACCCGCACACCATGTGCTTCCGCCATCCCCCATCTCTTTCATTTCCTTTCAGCCACAACCAACCCTCCACCTCTCTTCAATTTCATTCATTCTTTCTTTCCCTCTTCCATTGTCGACTACTGTTTGTCCCCCCTCTTATCAGATTCTATTCCATTCTCCACGAATTATTGCATTTCATTTCATAAAACCAAAATTACGAAAGATGATCCATATATTACATCATAATACATCCAAAAAATCGACACAATCATGCGAGGGCTTGTTTTTTTTTTCTTTTGTAGCCATGTTTCATTAGGCAGCTATCAGAGGGTGATCAATTTCATAAGATTTGAAGAAGAAAATGAAGAGAAGAGAAACAAAACGCACCGGAAATTGAAAGGCAAAGATTGGAAGAGATGGGTTCAAGTGTTCCCTGCAATGGAAACCTCCTGCTGGCTATGGCGGGTACCTAACCCAGACCGCGTCTTTAATATGTTACGCTTCCACTTCGGATAGTCTTAGTCAAGAGGGTACAACAAACACCCTATCCAGTTTGGCCTCTTCTTTCTCTCTCTTGCGGTTTAAATATCTTAAAAAATTCAATAATATTTTATATATAAACAAAATATAATATAATGTTAGAAATGATTTTTAAAATGTAAATCTTAATATTATAACATACTATTCCACATTTATTATACACATTAAAATTTAATATATATTTATATATAAATAATATAATATATTTTCACCCCTATTTAAACAATGATTCTTTACCTCTTCACATGTGGGGACCATTTAAAACGGTTAGAAAGTTGCCCTCATAATGTGGCCACATTTCACCCAATTTTCATGCCAAACTAAGGTCTAAATCACTAATTAATACAAATTATATATTTATGGGAAAAAATTAAAATTAATTCTTCGATTACATGTAATAGTCCACGATCTCCGCTAACAAATATTGTTCGTTTTGGCTCGTTACATATTATTGTCAGCTAAAATGCGTCTTAAAACTGTGAGGCTGACGACAATATATAACTGGTCAAAGTGGATAATATTTGTTAGTGGTAAACTTGGACTATTACAAATGATATTAGAGGCCGACACTGGATGGTGTGTCGGCGAGAACACTGGCCCCAAGAGGGTAAATTTGTGAGATCTCACATGAATTGAAGAGGGGAACAAAGCATTCTTTATAAGGATGTGGAAACCTCTTCCTAGCATATGCGTTTTAAAATTGTGAGGCTGATAGCAATACGTAACGGGTCAAATTGGACAATATATACTAGTAGTGGACTTAGGCTGTTACAATGCACAACATGTCAAGCCGATTAAAGTTCTTCCCCATAATCAATCGAATCGTATAGACATCCATTCAACACAAACATAGGTCATCGAAAGGATCTCTGAGACCCACCAACGCACGAAAGCCATAATTTTTCAAAACATGAAAAAATGGAATTCTATTTGGAAAGTATATGTCAATAAGGAATTGGAATTGGAATGATATCGATTCATACAGATGTGTGGGAAAATGAAAGTAGAGGTTAGAGTTTATCTTGGGAGGAAGGGAAGTTAGCCCAATGGACAAATGGAAGATCTTATTTGGAACAGCTACACCA